CACTGCTGGGGAAGGTGAGTTCACCCTTCTAGAGAAAACATCACAGGGAATCTTCTCCTTTGGGCCTGAAGACAAGAGCTCCATGGAGGGCAGGGAAGCTATGGAGAGAGAGGAGCAGTCAGTGCAGGTAGCTTCTTATACAAAAGGCGAACGTGGAGCAAGGCTGAATGGGAAGGAGGTGGGATTTGCCCCAGATACCAGAGTGCAAATATGTGAAATTAAGAGTCTCACCTGGAGCCAGTCTCTGTGCACGACTGTACATGTTCTGTACATGACTGAGTACACTGCGATACTCTAGGACCTGAACCAACCCTGGCTGCCAGGAAGCAAAGGGAAAAGATGCTCAGCCCCAAGTCCTCTTCCCATGTAGCTTCTCCCAACTCCAACCTGCCCTGCCCTGGGCCACCCATTTTCCTTCAGGTATACCAACTTGTATCCCCTGTGACTCTACCTCACTGTCTATTCTAGGAACAGAACCATCACTGTCATCTTGGGGGCCCATGACATGGATGAGCAAGAGACGACCCAGCAGGTCATCCCTATAAGAAGAGTCATCCCCCATCCAAATTTTAAAAACGAGCCATTAAATGACATCATGTTACTTCAGGTGAGGCATGCCATTCCACTGGGTCTTACACAGGTTAATCCTAGAGGGTTAAATCCTCATGGCTTTGTTTCCATTCCTCTTTGTCAAATTGACCACTTCACTTGTCCCAGTGCCATGAAGAAAGCAACTCCATGTCTGTGTCGATTTTCGTGAGTTTTTGGTTGATCAGAATTCCCTTTATCTGCCTTTAGTTGGAAAAGAAGGCCAACCTGAATGCTGAGGTGAGCCTCCTCAAGTTACCCTCAAGAAATTCCCAGGTTACACCAGGGATGGTGTGCACTCTGGCTGGATGGGGACGCCTTGGCCAAAACATATCCACAACAAAACTGCATGAGGTACAGCTTGAAATCCAAAATGACGAGGAATGTCACTCTCATTTCAAAAGTATATATGAATCCACCACCCAGATTTGTGTGGGGAACCCAAAAGAGAAGAAGAATTGTTTTCAGGTAAGTTCACCTGCATTGGCTATTCCCTGCCTTGGGCACAGCAGAGTTTGAGGA